ATGGGAGTGTTGGAGACAGTGCGATTGGCACAGGACAGAGCGGAATTTAGGGCTGTTGTACATAGGGTCGCTATGAGTCGCAGGTGACTCGATGGCACATAACAACAACAACAACAACATTATCACTCTCATTTCAGAATGTATTTTTGTTTATTTCTGTGTATATTGTTTGTATATATGTACAAATGAATAGAAAGGATTCTGGAAAGATCTTTACTCAGCGATAACAGTTGTTGTCCCCAAGGAATAAAACTGGAACTGAAGGATGTTGGAATCATTGGAGCTGTCTCAGCGGTAACTCCACAGATTTTGGATTTGTTGGAACTTTTTTCAGCAAGCCGAAGTGACTTTTACAGAGAAAGAATTGAGTAAAACCAATGTTACTGTAATAACTTTTGCTTATATTCCAGTCCCACAGCCGCCTCGATTAGAACCTCAGGAACCGAATTCTGCCACGAGCACGACCATTGCAGTTTATTGGAGCATGAATAAGGAAGATGTTATCGACTCCTTCCAGGTTTACTGCATGGAGGAACCACAAGATGACCAGGAAGTAAATGGTAGGAGCATGATTTGTATAGAAATAAATGAACGGTTGCTTACATGTATTTGTATTCACACATTTTAATGTAAAGTATTTAAGTATGTTTATATACAATGACTGTTCCCATTAAGCTTTTATGGACACCAAATACAATCAAACAACCAAGTAAAAATAACCCCATATGTGATGACATGACACATAAGCAAAATTGGGAAATCAGGTTCAAATAAAACAATACCTCAGAAATACTACCAGAATTGTCAACATTCATCTTGTAATCGAGATTCACATCTAGCTTTGAATTCTTAAGATAACAAGGGCTGTTAAGGGATTCTCATTTTCAGAATGGAGATAACATATTAACTAGAGTTTCAGAGAGGACAAAGTTTTAACCAACTCTGAGGTCTAAAAAAAGAATTTAAAGTGTTCCACTTGTAGATAGGAAAAGCTATTTAAAGGACAGTGTTTGCTACAAAAATTTTAATGTAAGTGCAACATTGCATATTATGATTGGCGGTTTCTCTGATCCACCTCTAATAAAAGCTATAAGCCAAAAATAAAGGGCATTATGATGGCCTAGTGGTAAGAAACTGTGCTACAATTCTGAAGTCACTTGGTTCTAATCCTCCAGTTGCTCTGTGGGTGAAAGATAGGCAGTCTCCTCCCATACAATTTACTGCTTTTAAAAACCTGCCAAAGGGTCAGCTATGGGTTGAATTCAACTCAAAGGTACAAAACAACAACAGCAGCCAACCATAAAGGTTAATTCCATTTCCCAACTTAATGTGTGGATGGATGTGAAAATGTTTTTCAGTATCTTGAACGGATGGCATGTCTTTATAATTGAGCCTGAAGTCAAAACAGTTTGAGGCTGTACTTCCTGATGAGTCAGATCAGAAAGTGCTGGCATTCTGCATTGTTTTGCTGAAGACAGACACACTTTGGAAACCACATATGGCAGGATCGACAGTTTATTGCAAAACTCAAGAACCTAGTATGTCATAGGGATGAATTTTAATACATTTAATTGTTATTGGTATTTAAGTCTTTCAAGATGACACAAAATAGTTTAAAAAGATTTTTAAAAAGCAACTTTAGGTATAATGTAAGGTTGACGGTGTTGTTATTGTTGAGTACCATGGGGATGGAACCAACTCAAGCTGACCCCTTAGCGGTTTTCAGAGGCAGTGCATGTGTTTTGTTACTCTACTTATTCCTTCTGTATATTTCTCATTTACTCTAGCTACGTGATCAAACGTCTTGGCTATCCAAGACACCTTTTAATAACTTTTAATAACCTATTTATTTCTTGTAGTTCTTCAGTCTCACTCCCACCTATTCTGAAGTATCTTGCTCTTTCAGTACCTTGAATTCTGCTGACTAACAAGTAACCTGATTGTGCACAATATGATACTTTGCTATTTGCCAACAGTCTCCAGCCACTTATGTTGAGTGTTAAGTATGTTGTTGGGAAGAGCTTGTGGATATTAGTGCTTCACTTACAGGAATGATTCTCTTGAAAACTACAGCCACCATTTCTGTGCTGTAAGGAGATTTGTTTTGTTTTCTCCATGTGCAAATCCTATGGCATTTTAGAAATGGAATTCATTTTCCAGAAAGTGAAGCTCCCTGGGAGAAGAGACAATTGAATAGATCATGCTAACCCACAGAGATGCTAACTTTCCTTTGAAAGGAAGCAGCTTGAGTTTTAAGGTTGTGACAGTCAAGAATAACATAGGAGGACAATGGAAAAGAAGGCAGGTTAATTTAATAAAGAAAATAATTCTTTTACAGGAAAGAAAATTTCAGTAAGAAAATCAGATTAACCCAAAGCACTATGTTTTTAAAATGATACTCAGTGACATTTACTTTTACAATATGGAAAGTAAAGTAATTTAAGAAGTTTAAAAAGGAAAATGTTTTGATTAAACAAAATTTTGTCATAAAGTAAGTTTTGACCTATCAAATTATATTTAAGCATATCTAATTAGGTAAGGGAGCTCTGGTGGCCTTGTGGTAAGAAGTTGTACTGCAATCTGAAAAGCATGACGTTCAAATCCACCAGCCGCTCCATAAGAGAAGGATAGACAATATCCTCCAGTGGGATTCAATGCCTCTGAAAACCCTCTGGAGAATCAGCTATGGATTAGTTTTGACTCTATGGCACACAATAACAACAGCAACAACCCTAACAACAATAACATAATTAATGAGCCTTGGTGACTTAGTGGTAAGAAGTTGCACTATCAGTCCAAAGGCACACAGTCAAATCTATAGTAACTCCACAGGCGAAAGATGGATAATCTCCCATACAATTTACTACCTCCATAAACCTGCTGGAGCGACTGCTATGAGTCAGTTGTAACTCAACAGTACACAACAATAACAACAATATTTATAATTGTGAAAGTCTTTAGTTGAAAGAATTTGATCATTCATGAGACAAAAGAAGATTTGAAACTTGAGGAAACCAGTGGCCTACAGGTTGATTCTGAACTGTCGTGACTCCCAGTACTTCAGCTTAGAATTCCGCAAGAGTTTCATAATTGTGGTTTTTCAAAATGTCACAGGGCTCTTATTTTGAGAGGCCTCTGGGCGAGAGTGAACTGCCAACTTTTTGGTGTATAGTTGAATGCTTGACCATTTGTGCCATCCAAGGATTACTGGAAAATCATACTGAGTCTTAAAATGGTTTATTAATGTGTAGAAATGGTTTGGAACAGCTTAAGTTTAGAAATAGGGGATTGTGTCACTTTCTTGAAATACTGGTATTACTTCTTAAGTCTTTAAAAATACATTACTGAGACTTAAGCTAGAATAAATTCTGTGATTTTAACATTTGCTACTGAAATAGATTACACTGATTATGGTAGATGAAGCTTAGAATTTTACTAATATGATTTTCTTTTCTGTTAAGTGGTCACAAGTAATATTTGCCACTCTAAATATTCCTTTCCAGAATGCTGTCACTTTCCAAAACCCCTTTATTGCTGTGGAATCAGAACTGACACAACAGCTGATTGCCCACTTTTCTCCAAAGGAGCAGCTGTGGATTTGAACCACTAAAGAGGCCCCACCTCAGGATTAGTAGCCCAACACTATAGAGACCAGAACTCTTCCAAAGTGCTAGCTATCACACAATATCTCTGAGAGTACATCAGCTTGAGTTTAAATACATGTAGACCACATTCCCTCCTGCTCCCAACTACAGCTTTTAATTAACTTTGGGAGATACTATACATTTTATGATTGTGTGTTTTATGCTAGAATTGGTGGAAGAGTACAGAGTGACAGTGAAAGAAAGCTACTGCATTTTCGAAGATTTGGAGCCCGACCGATGTTACCAAGTGTGGGTAATGGCTGTGAACTTCACTGGATGTAGCCTTCCCAGCGAAAGGGCAATTTTCAGGACAGGTAAGGGGGTGTTAGGGAACACATTAAATTTTTCACAGACTCTTGAGGTCAACCAATAAGTATCTATTTAAGTAGCTGAATAATGTGCTGAATATTCTATGGTATCTTGGGGCAACAACAGTGGAGAAGACTGGGATGGTGTTCTAAGAAAGCTCACAGTCAAGTGGATAGACAGACAAACAGAAGATCATGGAACATTGATTGGTAGGGAAGGCTGTAATTCAGATATACACAGGTTAGTTTGAGAGCACTAAGGGGTACTTGAGAATGCCTGGGACCAGGTCACACCCAGGAACTATGGTGTCTAAAACTGATGTCTGAACTAAACCTCTTAAAGGATTAGTGGGAATTGGCATATTAAGATCTCTTCACAGATAATTGAAGCAAAAGTCCTACACCTTTTTTTAAAAATGCATAAATTAAGGCCACATTGCTTTTTAGGTAATTAGAAATGTTTCAAAGCAAGAAATGATGCATTCTTGCCATTTTTTCTTTCTCCTTTGTCTTTAAAGTAGATGTTTACTGAGCACCTGTTTAGGACTAGATCCTTGATATTTTTGGGTAAAGGGTAGGGAATGAGAATCTCTGTTTTTGTGTGTTGTATATGTGTAAAGAAATACTGGTAGGATTTATAAGAAATTAATAGTAGATGCTATCTGTATAGGGATGGATGAGGTTTGGGTAGTGTGGAAGACAGGGATGAAAATGAAATTTTTCACTACATAAATTTTTGTGTCTTTGGCATTTTCAACTATGAATGTATTTTAATTAAAGTTAGACGTGAAAACCACATCCAGACCCTCTTCTCAGGGTACCAGGGAAGCAGAGCTGGTGTTGCTTCACCGATATTGACTTGATTCTCTTTCTGTAGCCCCCTCCACCCCTGGAATCCGCACGGAAGACTGCACTGTATGTTGGAATACAGCTACCATCCGGTGGCGACCAGCCAACCCAGAGGCCACAGAGACCTACACGCTAGAGTACTGCAGACAGCACTCTCCCGAGGGTGAGGGTCTCAGGTAAGAAGGGCCTGTCTCCACTGAGTGGGGAATCCCACTCAGAGTCAGTGCTCCAAGAGATGTAAGACTGGATGTCAGGACTCTAAGATAATCTCTACACCTATGCTCATTGCAGGAGAGAAGTTCTCTAAAATGCTGCTGAGCTTACGAAGCTGTTAACTTCATTTGCAGCTTCAGCACTATTCATCAATGAACTCTAAGCGTGTAATGAGAACACGTGATAGGATGCTGAATAATAACAGACTTGAAAGAAAAATGTATGCACATTTTAATAAGATTGAACACTTTCTGAGGTATATTTAACTTGAGTCATTAGACAGAATTTATGCATGTTTTTATGTCTTTTTTTACTAGTTATATCAAAATAGGTACCACCTATCTCAGGAACCTAATAGTGAGCTTATGTATCATGTAAATCTGAATGTCTCTGATTTGTTGGTAATATGAAGAAACTAATTGCAAATGTCACAAATATACTCTTGTTTCTCCAAGAGAATGGAGAATCTAGACAGATTCTTAACAGGAGAATCAAAAGAGGAAACGCCTTCACTAAAATTATGAAGCCAAAATGTATCAATGAAAGGTCATCAGCCAGTGAGTTCTTGCTTGGTTGTTGGTCCTCTGAACCTCTGACCTCATGTTAATAAAACAACTTCAGGCTCCATAATGACTATTCATATCACTATGACTAATACAAAGAGCTCTGGTGAGTTAGTGAGTAAAGAGTTGCTCTGCCATCCCAAAGACTAGTGGTTCAAATCTACCAGCTACTCTGCAGGATAAAGATGGGCAGATGTAACATGTAGGTTACAGCCTCTCAAAACCTGCTGCAGGGTCAGTTATGAGTCAGCTCTGACATTAATGAGTTGACTTGAGTTGATGATTAATATTCGTACTTTGATAGATAATGTTTTCAGATTTTTAAATTTTTTTATTTTTTAATCACTTTTTTAGTTAATTTTAATGAAAATTTACAGAGACCTTGGATTTCCATTCATTCACTGTTGCACTTTTCTCCCTGCCCACGCTGCCCCCTCAGTTCACTCTTCTCTTTGAAAAGTAAAAGAAAAATTCTTTCATTGTTATACAATCCCTCCCCCCAGGTCCACTCCACTATGCAGCCTTCATTGTGGACTCCTGTCATGACAATAATACCTAATCACATATCTCTTTTTAAACAGTTTTCTCCCTCATCTGTTTCAATGCGTTATACATTATTTATCCCAACTTTCTCAGTCTCTCTCCAACCCCGAAGTCAGTCCTATTTCACAACAGTGGCACTATGCAGTATTTGTCCCTTTGTAACTGAGATATTTCACTCAGTATAATGTCCTCCAGGCTCACCCATTTTGAATAATATTGCACGAGTTCCTTGTTTTTCAATGCAACATAGTATTCCATTGTGTGAATATACCACAGCTTCTCTATCCATTCGTTTGTTGATAGGCACTTGGGTTGTTTCCAACTCCTTGCTATTGTGAACAAAGCCATGATAAACATGGGTGTGCATATCTCTGCTTGGATGTCTGTTATGGTCTCTTTGGGATATATTCCCAGTAGTGGAATTGCTGGGTCAAATGGTATCTCTATTTGCAACTTTTTGAGAAAGCGCCACACCACCTTCCACAGTGGTTGCACCATTTTACACTTCCACCAACAATGAATAAGAGTTCCAGTTTCTCCACAACCTTGCCAGCATTTGTTGCTTGCTGTTCTGTTAAATTTTGCAATTCTGACTGAGGCGAGACGGTATCTCATAGTTGTTTTGATTTGTATCTCTCTTAAAGCTAGGGATTTTGAACATTTCTTCGTGTGCTTGTTGGCCATCTGAATGTCTTCTTTGGTGAAGTGTCTGTTCATATTCTGTACCCATTTTTCAATTGGATTGTTTACCTTTATCTTATTGTGGTGTAGATTTTTTTTTAAGGCAAACTTGTATTTTATTTGGTCTTCAGGGGGGAGAAGGAATCACCTTAACACAACATGGTTTTTCCCATTGTTGTAGTCCCGGGTTGCATCAGCAGGCCCGAAAAGCCATCCCATTCTTGTGGTAGGTAGGCGCTTGTGAATGGGGCAAGGGGGCCAATCTTGTGGCCATAGCGTCTAATGGCCTCTCTGATGTGGCAGGGTTGGATGGCAACCTTGTGAGCCTCAACACCACAGGCCGCAGTGCTCTTTTTTCTTTCCCTTTGCTTGGTTTTAGCTGAGTCCTGTGCTGCATTCCCATTCCCCAGGGATCCTGTTGTCATTTTTCCCTGAATGCTGTGATCCACTTGATGGATGTGGTGTAGATTTCTAAAACCAAGTTTACCAAGATAAACTATCTTGGTAGGTTATGGGACTTGGGAATAATTGCGTGAAATTAGACAGTTTCTTAATAACATGTACTATTTAAACTTCTGATTATCATCATCATGAATCAGTCAACAGCTATTTATTTATGATGTGAAGTTTCATGTGACTGAGCAATAATTAGGATTTCTTTCAAGTATGTGAAGACAAGCTTCACAGATAATGATCAAAGGGTGAATTTATGTTAGGCTGGGTGTGTATGGGTGGAGACAGGAGTGCGAACACAGTAAATGTACAAGGAGCAACATTTTTGATAATGTGGTAATTGCTGAGAATGAAACTCTGGTCTGTTTAGAGCACAAGAAAAGGGTAAGAGTGAAAATAACAGAGTTTTACTGAATATATATAAGGTGCTGACTTCTTGTTGTTAGGTGTCATTGAGTGGACTGCAACGCACAGTGACACTGTAAACAACCTATCAAAACCTTGCCCGATCCTGTCCCATCTTCACAACCTCAGCCATACTCAAGTCCCTTGTTTCAGTCACTGTGTCAATCTACCTCGTGAAGAGGCTTCATTTCGTTAACTGATTCTCTACTTTGCCCAGAAAGATGATGTCCTTTTCCAAAGACTCGTCCTTCCTGACAGCACACCCAAAGCATGTGAGGTGAAGCTTCACCATTCTTGCCTATAAGGGACACCCTGCTTGTACTTCTTCCAAGATAGATTTGTTTGTTCTTTCGCCAGTCTGTGGGAAGTTCAATTCTCTTCGCCAACAGCAAAGTTCAAAGGCATGCTTCTCCTTTGGATTTACTTATTCATTGCCCAATTTTCAGATGCCTAGGAAGCTATTGAAAATAGCATGGCTTGGGTCAGGCACATCTTAGTTTTCACACAAACATTATTGCTCTTTAGCACTTTAAAAGGATCTTTGACAGAAGATTTGCCCAACACAGCATCTTTTTTTTTTATCTCTACACTGCTGCTACTATGTGTGGTGATTGTGGATCCAAGGAAAATAAAATTGTTGATAATTTGAAGCTTTTCTCCATTTATCATGATGCTGTCTATTTGTCCAGTAGTGGGGATTGCTTTCTCAATGTTGAGATGGAATCCATATTGAAGGCTGTAGTCTTTGATCTTCTGCAGCAAGTGTTTCAAGTTCTCATCACTTTCTGCAAGCAAGGCTGCTCCATCTTCCTTAAGGCAAGTTGTTGATGAGTCTTTCTCCAATCCTGTTGCCACATTCTTCTTTATATAGTGCAGCTACTTGAATAATTTGCCCAGCATACAGATTGAATAGGCATGGGAAAAGGTCAGTGTGTGTTATGTATTGGACCATTAACAAAGAAGTTGATGATCAGAATTCACCAGGTGCTCTTTAGGAGGAAGATGAGGCTATCTTCTGAAAAGATGTACAGCCTGAAATCAAATGGATGGTTGCCATGAGTGGGATGGGATTGGTGAGTTTTTGTTTGTTTGTTTAATTGACATCTTAAGTGTGTTATATACATTGCCTCATTTAATCTTCATATGAACTCAGACAGAAAACAGATACATCAAGAGGGTTCCTAAGCTAATGATTGCAGAGTTAAAACCCAGTATTGGCATATTTCAAAGCCCAAACATAAAACAAAATACTAGTAACCTCTGAGTGATTTTCAATTCATGGCATCCACATGCATGTGAGAATAAAACTGTGCTCCATGTATGTAGTTCTGAATTGCTATGACCTTTCCAGAGTACTAACTTTGTCATTTGTAGTCAATCATCAACTCCGAAGACACCATCCTCTGATTAATGTTACTTAGGGGAGGCCTGGACCTTTTGCTGTGAAGAATCTTTGATACTATGAAAATACTCTTGTCAGTACTGCCCAAGCCTCAAGCCCCTTTATTCCACCATTTACTACCATCAGGGAGGCAAACTGTTTAGGAGTGCTCTTACGTCACTCTCCCTTGTTATCTCGTAATCTCCAGATGACGTTTGCGTATGCAGCATCACCACAGTTGGACACTTAAATCAGTGGAGTTGTGAAAATGCCGACCCCTAGTCCTCACCTCACTGAAGGAAATATGATACCGTTTCATAACTATGGCCACAGGGAGACAAAAATAAAGAAAGAAATAAAAATAAAAAGTAGCAACAGAAAGAAAATTTGTGTTCATTAAGGGCCTTCATGTCAAATACTTTGCCAAATATAATTAGTTGTTGTTATTGTTAGATGCCATGACTCCTAGTGACCTAAGAGCAGATTGCAATCTTGCTCTTTCCTGTAGCTTCCTCAGGGTCTCTGATATGCTCCAGCCCAATGTTATAGTCACTGTGTCAACCCATCTTGTTGAAGATCTTCCTCCCCGCCAACCCCTGATTCTCTTTCCCAGGATGTTGTCTTTTTCCAAGGACCATCTTCTCCCAACAACATCGGCAAAAGTATGAGATGAGGTTTCACCCTCCTTGCCTCTCAGAAACATGCTGATCACACTTCCTCCAAGACAGATTTGTTTCTTCTTTTTTCCATCCATGAACTGTTCAGTGCTATTCTCCAACATCACAATTCAAAAGTGTCAATTCTTCTTGTATCATCCTTTTTCATTGTCCAACTTTCAGATGCATAGGAAGCTATTGAAAATACCCTGGCTTGGTTTAGGTACACCTTAGCTTTTAAAGGGACATTAACTCTTCATCATTTTAAAGTGGTCTTTGAC